AAAAGTTTCTTCCTCACTGATGAACCACACATCTAAAAAGTGAACTCTGATTCACAGAAGTGCTGGAATAAATATTTGTTACTTTTTAAGGTGCCACTGGACTCCTGATTTAGAGAGGGATACATACTTGAGCTGCGGTGGCTCAAGTGGTTAAGACGCTGAACTGCAGGCTGTGGAAGGTCAGTAGTTCAGCAGTTCAAGACCCGAGTTGCCGCATGACGGAGTGAGCTCCCATCTCTAGTTCCAGCTCCTGCCAACCTAGCAGTTTGAAAGCAAGAAATTGCAAGTAGATAAATAGCGACCACTTTGGTGGGAAGGTAACAGCGTTCCGTGCGCCTTGGTGTTTAGTCATGCCGGCCACATGACCACGGAAACGTCTTCGGACAGCACTGGCTCTTCGACTTTGAAACGGAGATGAGCACCGCAACCCTAGAGTCGGGCTCGACTGGCTTTCAAGCAAGGGAACCTTTACCTTTACCTTTTACATACTTTCTGCAGCGTGCCTAGCCAGCCTCAGTTTTATTGAGCCTAGGCCCAACAGATTTCATCTGCCGAACTGACACTAACTCATCAGCTTCACACCCTTTGAACCATTTTCGTTGAAGTATGGCAGCTTTCACACCTTTTACTGAATAGCCAGCAGAACAGAAATCCCCACCCACCCCCAAAAATAAAGGTTTCCAAGGGTTTGCATAAAAAAATAACCTTCCAGTTGGAAATGTCATTCTTTTGCATAACTTACTCCGTTATCTGGAAGGCACAGACCAGTCAGATCATCCTTTATTCAAATGACACTTAATTTTAAATGACACTTAATTTTGATAAATTATGGTAAGAACTCATCCAGGCTGTACAAGGGAAGCCCGAAGGGGACTCCAAAATCCAGCCTCATGTTGCATTGCTAGAAACAAACAACACTCTCCACAATCCAAAAGACCTTGGCACATTCTGGGTGAAGAGCTTTCTTGAATCATTTAATGCTTTACAGTCTTTTTGCAGTTGCAGCAGCCCTTGCTACACTCCCTGGGCCAGCTGTTCTGCACCAGTGTACAATTAGACATTTCCTTTTATTCTTCTCAAGCATCCTCTGCAGCATTCCAGTTCTTAAAACCAACCCTAATGACCCAATTCAGTTTCTGTCTGTTTCCACATGGGCCTTCTTCACAGCACATTCCAGTCCAAACACT